AAATGAATCCGAAACACAAATAAATATACAACTAACTGCTCAGATTTTTATTTAAAGAATATATTAATAATCAGTTTTCACAGATGTAATTAAATAAATCTGGTTTAACAGATCATGTTTTATGTTTATTTTGCAGTTTTTATTAAATTTAATTCTATGATTAAAGGTTCTGCTCTGCAGGTCTGCTTTGGCCTCAGGAGTCCTGCAGACCTGGGTCCACATCAGACCTGCAGAGACCTTCTCTGAGACTTTCTGTTAATAAATAATAAAATCATAAATTAAAAAATGTTTCAGTTTTCAGTCACACAGAAAGTTTTACTTTAACTAAAATGAAATATTTTACATTTTTGAGGTGAAAATATGAGGAAGTTTAATTGTTTTTATTTTACTTTCTGTTCAGACATGAAGTCAGACTTTTATTTTCTGTCCTCCTCAGGTAAACAGCTTCATTTACTTTGTTTATTTCTTGTTGTTTATGTGTTTATTTGTTTATTTATTTGCTTTATTCAGTTCAGATTCCTTCACTTCACCCTGTCAGAAGCCTCTCAGGTGAGTTTCTAACTGCTTCCTCCTGACTGACGCCTCCTGCAGCCAATCAGAGCGTGAGCTGAGGCTGATCAGCGCATCCTGGTCACCTGGACCAATCAGAGCGCGAGTTGTAAGAACATTACCTTATATGGAGAAGGCCCGCGGCCCCCGGAGCGCAGATAAAGCCGGTGCTGCTGGTTTGGAGCAGCTGCAGTAACGAAGCACAGCTGGGCACGAGGACTCACAGACAGGCACACCCCTCAACTCACCTGAGACAGGTAAGATTACAGACCCTCTGCTGGGACTCAAACTGTGACTTTTATTTGTTACATTTATTATTTATCAAGAGGGAAAATGGCTTAGTTTTGCTTAAGTTTAAAAACAGTGATTAAACTTCCTGTTTTGTGTTTTTAAAGGAGGAAATGTTTAAAAAAATCAGCTATAAACTTCAAACTAAAATTTGTTTTTGTTAAACTGAGTGAATCAAAAAGAAAAATAAGTAGGTCCTCTGGATGGGTTCTTAAGTGAAACGTTTCGTCTCGACGAAACGTTTCACTTAAGAACCCATCCAGAGGACCTACTGATTTTTGTTGTTCTACCTGTATTACTGAGATGCATCAGGATTTATTAATTAACTCGGTCTTCTTCATGAATCTGTTCACTGAAGACTCAGATTTTCTAATAACTAATTTAATAAAGTGCACAAAGTGGTCCAGGTGAGATTTATTAGCTGATTTCAGCTTCAATCTGGGTGTGGAAGGATTTAATCTGAAGCTAATCTTCAGTTGGTCACACCCAGCTGCTTGGACCTGCAGACATGACATAACAAGAACCTGTTCCTGTTTTTTTTCTAAAGTCTGGGTGTGGCCTGTGAGTGGGCGGGGCATCTCCTGCTTCCAGTAAACTCTCAGGTGTGTCTCCGGCTCGTTGGATTAACGAGTGTTTCTCATTAACAGACATGGATGACGATATCTCTGCCCTGGTTGTTGATAATGGATCTGGTATGTGCAAGGCTGGATTTGCCGGGGACGATGCTCCTCGTGCCGTCTTCCCGTCCATTGTTGGACGCCCCAGACACCAGGTACCCCACCCGGACCCTGAAGGTTCCCCCTCCACCTGAGTGAGTGTATAAATCTGACCCAGGTGTGTGTTTGCAGGGTGTGATGGTCGGTATGGGACAGAAGGACAGCTATGTGGGAGACGAGGCCCAGAGCAAGAGGGGTATCCTGACCCTGAAGTACCCCATCGAGCACGGCATCGTCACCAACTGGGACGACATGGAGAAGGTCCGATCAGGCTTTTATTTAAAAAAAAATAAAATAAAACTCTTCTAATGTTCAGTCCTGAGATCTAACAGTACTCTGCCCTCAGATCTGGCACCACACCTTCTACAACGAGCTGCGTGTTGCTCCAGAAGAACATCCCGTCCTGCTGACTGAAGCTCCCCTCAACCCTAAAGCCAACAGGGAGAAGATGACCCAGGTGAGTCCAGTCCAGTCAGACCCCCCCCCAGTGGGTCCATATTCTGTCTTGAGTGCAGCAGCTAAAACTAAACTGTCTTCAGATCATGTTCGAGACCTTCAACTCTCCTGCCATGTATGTGGCCATCCAGGCTGTGCTGTCCCTGTACGCCTCCGGTCGTACCACAGGTGAGTCAGGTTTCAGGTAGAGGGTCTCTATGGTCTGTGGTGGTCTCTGACGGTACGTCTGGTCCTGCAGGTATCGTGATGGACTCCGGAGACGGTGTGAGCCACACTGTGCCCATCTACGAGGGTTACGCCCTGCCCCACGCCATCCTCCGTCTGGATCTTGCCGGCAGAGACCTGACGGACTACCTGATGAAGATCCTGACGGAGAGGGGCTACAGCTTCACCACCACAGGTAGGCCTCACCTGGACCCACTTGGACCTGTCTGAACCGGTCTAACCTTCCTTCGTAATGACCCTGAACCCTCTGCTCTCAGCTGAGCGTGAGATCGTGCGTGACATCAAGGAGAAACTGTGCTACGTGGCGCTGGACTTCGACCAGGAGATGCAGACCGCAGCCTCCTCTTCCTCACTGGAGAAGAGCTACGAGCTTCCTGACGGACAGGTCATCACCATCGGCAACGAGAGGTTCCGCTGTCCCGAGGCGCTCTTCCAGCCGTCGTTCATCGGTCAGTTTCACTTTAAACCAGGTTTTAGTTGACCCCGACGTGTCAGGTTTTATGGTCTCTAATAAAACGTGGTCTTGTTTCAGGGATGGAGTCTGCTGGGATCCATGAGACCACCTACAACAGCATCATGAAGTGTGATGTGGACATCCGTAAAGACCTGTACGCCAACACGGTTCTGTCTGGAGGAACCACCATGTACCCTGGAATCGCTGACCGCATGCAGAAGGAGATCACCGGCCTGGCCCCGCCCACCATGAAGATCAAGGTAGGTTACAGCAGATGAGACTTGCTGCCCCTCCCCCTCCCTGCAGCAGCTGTTTAACCGGTCTCTCCTGTCTTTAGATCATCGCTCCTCCAGAGAGGAAGTACTCAGTCTGGATCGGAGGCTCCATCCTGGCCTCCCTGTCCACCTTCCAGCAGATGTGGATCAGCAAACAGGAGTACGATGAGTCCGGTCCCGCCATCGTCCACAGGAAGTGCTTCTAAGCTGCACCCCCCCACTCCCCCTGGTGGTCAAAGTGCTTTAATCTGCTCATCAGCTGAGATGAGGTGTAGTTTGTCTTGTGTGAACAGACTGAAACATAACTCAAGATTATCTGCACGGATTTCAACCTTCAACCTGTGAGTTTATCGAGTCCAGATGTTCAGGAGGAGCTGAACAGTTTCTGCTCGTCAGGCTTGTTGTAACTTAAAGCATGAAACCACTGTTCATCCTGAGGAAAATAAAAACTTTTGTTTACAGCTGATGTCCTGTCTTTTGTTACTAACTTTAACTATTGAACCACATTTCTTCTGTCTTTAACTTGTGGCTACGCTCTGAACTTTGACCATAAAACATGTCTGAGTTGGTGAGGTGTCAGAAAAGGAACTTTGTAACACTAATCAAACCTGAGTTCACAGTTGTAAGTACAAATACTTTACAGTAAAACTCTTGGTTATTTATACTTGAGTAATTCCTTAAAAGGTAGGTTTTGTTCCAGCTCATTGTTAAACTATCCTGATTGTCCTGGATAGTGAACTAAGTATAAATGCCTTCTGACACTCCTTTACGATTCAGCTTTTTTTTTTTTTTTTTGAAAACATTTACTCATGTACATTGTTGGATTTACTGATACTAGTAAAAATATACTGGATACTGAAGAGTTTTACTAATGAAACTTTAATACTTTCGAGTATCACTTTGTAGTACTTTTCCACCCTGAGTTTTGAACATGGTTTCTTCCTGCAGAGGTCAGATTAAACCTCCTGCCTGATCAGGAGTGTCTGAACCTGCATAAGTGACTAAAACTGATTTGACTTGGAACTAGAATAACTTGGCACTAAAGTATATAAAAGGTGAGACCCACCCCCCCTTTAACTCTACACGGCTTCAGTTCTAAACTTTGACCTATGGGCAGCAGCAGGGTTATATACCATAAACATGCTGTCATGTCAAATGACAGAACTGTAAAACTGTGTAGGTTTTTCCCTCTCAGTGTAGATAACATTTGATTTAATTTACCTGGTTCAGACAGCAGGGGCTGTAAATCTTAGTGGCACTGATCAGGTGTAGAGAGAAGAGCAGGTGTGGTTAAGAGTCAATGCATGGGGAAAAGAGTAGACTTGCACCAGTGAGTAAAAAACCTTGATTCTAGTGAAATTAATTGCTCAATTTGTTGAATTGGAATAGGTCTTAAGTTGTCCGAGGTGTTTCTAGGGCACAGTCATGATCCGTATGTTAAACAGGTCTGCTAAAGTTTAAGTTAATCTGATACTTTAAGTTCATTTCAAAAAATGCGTGATCCTGATCCCACATATGGATTAAAACATAAAATTACTGGCTAGGATTGATGATTAAAGTACTTTAATTTAATTTTAACTTGACCAATCTTTATGGCATCAGGCTGTTTAGGTCTGAAAGTAAAATAAGTGATTATTTGAAGTAAAGTTGGTAACAGGATATTTGACCAGCAGAAAGTCCAAGTTTAGCTTTCATTGTTTAGAATGCTGGTTGTGTTTTCTTCAGTAAATAACCAACTGTTYAATTTACAAAAATAAATTAAATTAAATTGATTTACCAATCATCATGAACTTTACCAATATAGTAGAGTAAAAAACTCTTATGAATTAATGTTTTCATTGAAATTCAGTTAAAAACTATTTTCTTTTTGTTTGTCACAAGGTTTTCAACCTGCTGCTGATGTGGCAGATGATTCTGAGCTGCACATATCATCCTTGAATCAATTTAATAAAAGATAAGAAGAGTTGAAACAATGTTTACTTCCTTCTCGGTCCTCTCAAGTCGGATCAGCATTGATGTATAAAGACTTGACACCTGCTTAAGAACAAATTATACATTTATTGCACACTTAATCAGCTCTTGTTAGATTACAGTAAGTTTTAGCCAAATGTTACTAAAGAACTATTACAACTTTATTTTTTTCTCTTTGTACAAAATTTAAAATGCTATAAAGCACATTTAAACAGAACAGATTTCTGGATGTGATGCAGGGTGGGTCAGTAAAGTCCAGCTCTGGGTTTTTAAAACAAATACAGGGACATCAGTTTTTACTGAAACACGTCGTCAGGTCTTCTGGACTCAGTCTTGTTACGTTTCTTCCTGGATTTTTCTGCTTCAGGACAAGTTTTTAATGAAATGTTTTTCTTTAAGAGTAATTCTGCAGGTTTTTGTCTCTGTGTCGATCAGGGGTGGGCCATCACGGTCCTGGAGGGCTGCAGCCCTACATCCTGCTCCAACACACCTGATCCAGTCACTGAACTACCTCTTCATGTTCTGCAGTACGGAGGGCTGACACTGACATCATTAGAAATAAAAGCAGAAATAGATAAATGAACCTTTAAATACATAAATACATTTGAAATGCACCAAATAAATTAAAAAGGAGAACTTTACCTCATGTTTTATCATTTAATTGATCTTCATATTTATTTTTCCAGCTTAGTTAATTTTGTACAAGTCTTTTTATTTCTATGTTGCATGTTTGTGCTGCTGCAGTTTAGCTTAAAGTTTAGATAAAAATAAACGCACAGGTGATGTTTTCCTCCTTGCCTTTGTTTTAAACTAAACTTTAAACTTTTAGCTAAACTGAGGCACAATGCAACACATAGAAATAAAATGACTTGTTTGAAAAAAATATAAAAATAATTAAGTATAAACATTTAACAAACACAAATGCAAGTACAAATAAAGGAAAAATATATTTAGAAAAACAGTAAATTTTAAATTATGTGTTCAAATATATAGACTAATTTATTGGAACTAACCTAGAAAAATAAATATTAAAGTCAATTAAAATTTATTTATATTTTTTAATTTTATTCAACTTTTATTTCAACAGGAAAAAACATTAAGAACAGTTTCTTATTTACAATGTTGGCCTGAGATATAAATATAAAACAGGAGATAAAGTTTTCCTTTTTTAATTGAATTGATGCATTTTAAGTGTGTTTATTTATTGGTTCATATAATTCTGCTTTTATTTCTAATCATGTCAGTGTTGGTCCTCCGTACTGCACAAGTCTGATAATCATCATATCAGGTGTGTTGGAGCAGAGAAACAAGTAGAACATGCAGGGCTGAAGACCTCCAGGACCAGGACTGACCATGCCTGGTGTAGATGGACCAGGAGGACAGGTCTGTGGTCCCTCTAAGACTGAGGGTCTTATAGTCCTCTTTATGTTGTGAGAAACTGATACAGTAAATAGACAACGAACAAAAGTGGGAACAAGAAAATCCAGGGATAAACCCACTTCCTCCTCCTCCTGTGGTACTCCTCCTGGAGTTCCCTGTGGCTGCTCCTCTCCTCTTGCAGGTTCTCTTTCAGGTCCTCCATGTTCTGTTTGAGTACCTGAAGGACTCGTTCCCAGATCTGATCTTTCTCTTTCTCCCAACCATCTTGATTTCTCTTCATCTCTCGTCTGCTCTGCTCCAGTTTACTCTCAGCCTTTTCTCTTTCTGTTCTTTCTGACTGAATTCTTCGTTCTGCAGCTTCTAGTTTCTGTTTCCACTCCTGCCGCTGAGCTTCTTCCTGTTTTCTTCGTCTCTTCTCCTCTTCCTCAGCTTCTTTCTTCCTCTTCTCTCGCTCTTTCTCCAGACTTTCATCTTTTTCTTTCAGCTGCTGAACTCTCTGCTTTCGTTCTTGTTCAGCCTGAGCTCTCAGAGCCTTCAGCTCCTCTTTGTGTTTCTTCTTCATCTCTTCCTCTTTGTTCTTCATCTCTTCCTCTTTGTTCTTCATCTCTTCCTCTTTGTTCCTCATCTCTTCTTCTTTTTCTTCCAGACGTCCTCTGAGCTCGCTATCTGTGTCCACCTTGTGTCTCACATCCTGCAGGTCAGCCTGAAGCTTTAAAACTCTCTCCATGTTAGCTCTGGTGAAGGTCTCCATTGTGAAACCTCTGGAGGCTTCAGAGCCTGTTTGATCCACAGTCTCCAACAGTTGTGGGATCTGCTTCTTTTCTTTGACATTAAGAACAAAATATCTTCCTTCACAGCTCTGACAGAGCTCCTGGATCTCCTTGGTCTCCTTTATAAAGTTAAGAACAGCTGGAGCTGCAGGATCTGAGTCCACAGTGAACAGAATCATGATGAAGTCTTTGACTCGAGGGCTGAATGTGTCCTGGATGGTCTGTAACTCTCCCTTGTCTTCATCAGTGAGGGGACCCACAGGTAGGACCAGGATGAAGGCATGGACCCCCTCAGGATCACAGAGGGAGACACACCTGAAGGATTCCTCCATCACTTCCTCAGGTGGTTTGTCGTACAGAGGAGGCATCTGTAGCACAGAAACCTGACGTCCACACACCTCTGCCTCATGTTTAACACACTGTGATGGGCTGGAGGCTGGAGGAAGATCTGTCTGATCTAATATAGCTTCAGCTGCAATAGTCTTCCCTGTTCCTCTGCTCCCAACCAGAACCAGGTTTAAAGGAGGTTTTACCTTCATGGTCAAACCTGCAGCATCACCAACACCTGCCTCAGACACTGGAACAAAGAGACAAACTCAATCAGTTTGATAGACACAGTAACTAATGAGGATTATTTAACTTTGGTTCAACAGGAACAGAAAGAAGATGGAGAATACAGAGCTGCAGACGAAAGATTCTTTTTTCTTTATTTTAAACTCTTCTTCTGATCAACAGGTTCCTGAAACTAAAATATTTTGAATCTAAACTGACTTCCTTCCATCTTCTTCCTCTGATCCAGGGTCAGGTCTCGGGGGCAGCAGCCTCAGCAGAGACCCAGACTTCCCTCTCCCCAGACACTTGGACCAGCTCCTCTGGGGGAATCCCAAGGTGTTCCCAGCTGAGAAACATAGTCCCTCCAGCGTGTCCTGGGTCTTCCTCTGGGTCTCCTCCCAGTGGGACGTGTCCAGAACACCTCACCAGGGAGGAGTCCAGGAGGCATCCTAACCAGATGAACCACCTCAACTGGCTCCTCTGGACGTGGAGGAGCAGCGGCTCTACTCTGAGTCCCTCCTGGATGACTGAGCTTCTCAGCCTATCTCTAAGGGAGAGCCCAGACACCCTGCAGAGGAAACTCATTTCAGCTGCTTGGATCTGTCATCTCCTTCTTTCAGTCACTACCCAAAGCTCCTGACCATAGATGAGGGTAGGAACGTAGACCGACTGGTAAACTGAGAGCTTCACCTTCTGGTTCAGCTCTTTCTCTTCACCACAACAGACCGGTACAACACCCACATCACTGCAGACACAGCACCAATCCACCTATCGATCTCCTGCTCCATTCTTCACTCATTCATGAACAAGACCCTGAGATACTTAAACTCCTCCACTTGGGGCAGGACCTCCTCCCCGACACGGAGGCGGCACCCTACCCTTTTCCAGCTCAAGACCATGGTCTGGGATTTGGAGGCACTGATCCTCATCCCATCTGTGAACGGCTCCAGTGAGAGCTGGAGATCAGGATCTGATGAAGCCAATAGGACCACATCATCCACAAAAAGCAGAGATGTGATCCTAAGGTCACCAAAAAGGATCCCCTCAACACCTTGGCTGCTCCTAGAAATTCTGTCCATAGAAGTTATGAACAGAATCAGTGACAAAGGGCAACCTTGGTGGAGTCGAACTCTCACCGGAAATGAGTCCGACTTACTACCTGCAATGTGGACCCCGCTCTCTGATTACCGTCTGGTGGGGGCCTTGGCGGGGTCTGGGGGGCAGCTGGCAGTCTGTCTGCCCCAGGGTAGTTCAGGCTCTTGAATTGTGGCCCCTTGTTGCCATAGATGGCCCGCTGGCTGGGGTGGCTGCCGGGGCCTGGCTGGTGGTCGGCTGGGGTGTGAGCTTGGCTGTTGGCGTGTGTGGGGGTGGCCGGGGTTGTTGCCTCGCTGTGGCAGGGGGCTGGTTGACTGACCTGGTATGGCCCGGGCCGGGCCTCGGCTGTCTGCTCCTCTCCACCCCAGAATGAATGGGTTTACCTCCTTGGTTCAGATATGGCCTGCCCTCTGTAGGGGGTGGGTACGTGTCCTGGACCTGGGGGGATATAGAGTGTGTATCGGGAGTGTGGCGTTCTTCTTGTCTGTCTTTGAATGAGTGGGTGTGAGAATGATGGTGGGACTGTGTGAATGTGTTTGTGTATGATTGAGTGTTTTTCAGGCCGGGACCTGGGCTGCCCCCTCATTTGATTCACCTGAGAGCCCTCTACTAGTGGTGGGCTTTGCCCCTGGCCGCACTGCCCTCTGGTGGGGTGTGTCTGCCAGTGCGCTGGTGGCTCTCAATGTCTGGGGCTGGGTGCTTGGGCATGTGCCGGCTCGGTCTGGTGGCTGCCTGGTGGGGCTTGGGTCCTCTGGCCCTGTTGGGCCTTGGCTTGGGGTGGGGGTGGGGTGCGCCCTGGGGATCCAGGTCTCTGTGTCCATGCCTGGTTCTGCTCCAGTGTGGCGGGGGCCGGCGGGGCCCGTGGTCGTAGTGTTCCACGACCAGGACCAAAACTACACTGCTCTTCCTGAATCTGAGATTCAGCTATCTGACGGACCCTCCTCTCCAAGACCCCTGAATAGACCTTACCAAGGAGGCTCAGAAGTGTGATCCCCCTATAGTTAGAACACACTCTGCGGTCCCCCTTTTTAAATAGGGGGACCACCACCCCGACCTGCCAATCCAGGAGAACTGCCCCCAATGTCCACGTGATATTGTAGAGTCGTGTCAACCAAGACAACCCCACAACATCCAGAGCCTTAAGGAAGTCCAGCCTCAGGTGTCCTGGTGCCAGGAGCACATGAACACCCTGTTTGACTTCATAAAGTGAAAATGTTCTTATTTTCTAAACCATTGGAAGGTTTTTAATTTAATAACAAGTGTTGTTTATGTTTCATAACTGCTAAAAGTACATTTTTTTGTCCACAAACTAATTTTTTAGATCTATTTACCATTAATCTCATTTTTGACCAGATTTTTCCAGTGAATTAAAGTCTTTGTGAATAAAATAAACCTGGCTGCAGGTTCTGTTAAACTTACTGTCTGGATGCAGGATTTCTTTGCTCTTGGACGTCTTCAGACCCAGCGGAGCTCCAGACACTGCAAACATATGAACTGTGATTAATTCACGTTTAATTAAACAGAGTTCAAACTGAAAGTTATTATTTTATAAATGTTATAAACAAGTAAAGATCAGGACTGAAGGCTGAGAAACACTAAATGACCCAGAAGCTCTTTAATAAAGTGTTTTACTCACTGATGGAGTGAAGATGCTGCCGAGGCTCACAGCTTCCTGTCTGAGTCCTTCTGTTAGCAAAATATTTACAGTCATTACAACAGAGAACACAGACAGGTCCAAATACTGTTCTTTTTACAGCATGAACAAATAAATCATATTTATCACATGAAACAATCATTTCATGTGATAAATAATCATTTAATACAATTAAGTTTCAATGTTTATTAAACACAAACAGAAGTCTGGTTCTTATTTGACACTTTTTATTCAGTAATCCTGCTTCAAACAGCTTCAAACAGCTTCAGACAGCTTCAGACAGCTTCAAACAGCTTCAAACAGCTTCAGACAGCTTCAGACAGCTTCAAAACAGCTTCAGACAGCTTCAGACAGCTTCTAACAGCTTCTAACAGCTTCAAACAGATTCAGACAGCTTCAGACAGCTTCAAACAGATTCAGACAGCTTCAAACAGCTTCAAACAGCTTCAAACAGCTTCAAACAGCTTCAGACAGCTTCAGACAGCTTCTAACAGCTTCTAACAGCTTCAGACAGCTTCAGACAGCTTCTAACAGCTTCTAACAGCTTCAGACAGCTTCAAACAGCTTCAAACAGCTTCAAACAGCTTCAAACAGCTTCAGACAGCTTCTAACAGCTTCAGACAGCTTCAAACAGCTTCAAACAGCTTCAAACAGCTTCAAACAGCTTCAGACAGCTTCTAACAGCTTCAGACAGCTTCTAACAGCTTCAGACAGCTTCAGACAGATTCAGACAGATTCAAACAGCTTCAGACAGCTTCAGACAGCTTCAGACAGCTTCAAACAGCTTCAGACAGCTTCAGACAGCTCCAGACAGCTTCAAACAGCTTCAGACAGCTTCAGACAGCTTCAGACAGCTTCAGACAGCTTCAAACAGCTTCAAACAGCTTCAAACAGCTTCAGACAGCTTCAGACAGATTCAAACAGCTTCAGACAGCTTCAGACAGATTCAAACAGCTTCAGACAGCTTCAGACAGATTCAAACAGCTTCTAACAGCTTCAGACAGATTCAAACAGCACCATCAATCCTGCAGAGACGTTATTCTGAGCTGGTGGAACAAACAACACCTGCACAGGTAACTTTACTGTTCTGGCTCCACCTGCAGGAGAACGTTTTATACAACCTGTTATTAAACCTGAACAAATATTTCACAGTTACTTCATTTAAAAATGATACAATGTTTCACCTGTTTACTGAGGTCAGTCAGGAATAAATATGAGTTCATCTGAAAATTATTTACACAACATAACATCTTTTTACTGGAGGTTTGAAGAATTTCTGACACAAATTTGATCAAAGTTGAGCTTTTTTCCTTTAACTCTGTTATTTGTTTTATTCTGGTTGGATTAGCTTCAGATCTATAGGTCAAATTATCTTCACTCATTTTATATAAATTATTAAAAGACAGAATATTTAGTTTTTAGAAACTCTGATGATGAAGTTTTTCTTTGTTTTAAATAAATGACATTAAACCAGAGATTATAAATCTCTGCTGATGAAAAAGATCCAAACAGAAACATCATCATAAACTTCCTGTTTACAGTGTCAGAGTGAACGGTTCTTGTTTGTCTGAACTTATTTGAAGAACGACAATGTTATAGTTTTACATTTAAAAATCAAATAGATATAGTTGTATAACTTTAAATATATTTTTTTTATTAAAGTAGCCATGATTTACCTGTAACAGATTTGAATTAAAAATCAGAAATAAAACTAGTTTCTGTAAAAAACCTTCAGTTTAACTGGACTCACCTGCTGAACTTCCTGAAGCTTAAAAAAGGTAGAATCAGGTGTGTTTTTGTTCATTTAGATTATCTAAATAAAGTTTTGGTCTAATATGTTTTGACTTGTGTTCGTGTTGCTGTTTCTGTCCTGATTGTTTTTTTATGTGTTCCTGTAAATCAGCTGAGGTGGGCGGGAATCTCTGTGCAGAACTCAAACCTGACATAGATTTACACAAAATGGTTTTTAAAACAGACGTGTAATTTATCCATTATCTGAAAGTCAACATGACAAAATCAGTTTCCATCATTTCTTTCTATAGTTATAATTTTTCAACAACAGTTCTTTTAGACAGAAACATAATAAATGTTCCAGAAGTAGAAATGGTCATGTGATGAACGTGGGTTTGACAAACTGGTTCAGCTGAGGAAATTTTATTGGCAATTTATTGAAGATGAATTGAGGTACAAAGAACCAATCAGAGGAGAGGAACCTTTAACCTGTTGCAGGTTATTAAAAGTCAAAGTGTGGAGGAACTCCAGGTAGATCTTAGAGAAACATCTTTATAAACTGTTTAAAGATGAAAGTTTGTCTGTTTCATGACTGCAAGACTGTAAATCTGCAAACATCTCACTGATTTATCATTTAAAACAGATTTCATTAATCTGATGGGAGAATCAACCAATCAGGATCCTGACAGATCAGGTGAGACGAAGGAACAAAGTCTGAGCAGGTGAAGAAGATAAATGTGTCAAACATTAACCTGAGCATGTATCACTGTTCAAAGGTCACATCTGTTTTTTTTACATTTAAGAACATAAAGTTATCAAAACTATTATTAATTTGTACATTTTCACTAACTTCAGACGTAAACAGACCAACAACACACAGACACTCAGCTCAGATCAGTCTGCTGTAAAACTCAGTTCAGAGTTTTACAATCGGAGGTTTTACAGGTAGAAGTTCAGACGTTCTGCAGGTTTTAGTTCTTTAACTAAACTCAGAAATCCTCCAAACATTTCATGATTTCCTTTATTCTCTGTTAGAATCACTTCTAAGAGCCAGTAAAAATCAAACATTCAGAGTTTAATTCTCAGAGTTTTAAATGTTCAGGACTCACCTGCTTGTTTCTTTGCTGCAGCTCTGCTGGTAACAGAAAGTAAAGGTTTTTACTGATTAACTTCTCAGGAGGACAGACCGGCCCCTCACACACACTGCAGTGAACACTGTAATGACAGAATGGGTGTTATCTTCTTCTTTACAACCAGTAAAGAAAACTTTGTGTTAGTAGAAAGTAGATGAGTATTTTAGTATAAGACATAATTGTGAGATCTGTAGAAAAAGGATGAATTAATAGAAAATGCTGTAAAAAGTTTAACAGGTTTGAACTGTAGCTGCCTGCAGAAACCAACAGTGTCTCAGAGAGCTGCAGAGACTGACCGTGTTTAAGCCTGTGAGCTGTCAGCCATGAAGAAACATGGTGGGAAAACCTGTTTGGACTGACAGAAGTTTTGCTGAAGCAGGGTTACAATTCCAGATTTATATGCAAGAGAAAAATCCCAGCTGGAGAGTTCAGAACCATTAGTTATATGTATGAGACTGGGAAAAACCCAGTTTCAGATTAAAACATGTAGATCGAAAAGAAATATCAATCCAACATCGTCATAGCTTTACTTGAACAGTACAGGTTTGGGTGATCATGTACTAAATCTTAATAATGCTTATAAAAGTGAGATGTTTTGATTAGATGCTGCTTTCAGATAAATAAGATGTTTTGTTTTACATAATGACGTATGCATGAATACTGAATGATAAAATGTAATAAAGACAACATGAGCACCATATATACATGTTCTGGGACATAAAGTCATGTTATAAGTTTTAAAAGTGTAGGGGTAAGGTCTACAATATCTTCTCATAACCTGAAAGTAATTCTTTTTCTAGGAAGATAAATACCTCTCTTGGTAAAAGTGAGAAATACACACGCACACAACAATTTACCACATTCATTAGTTCAAGTTTTACAAAAATAAATAATATTTATTTACAGAATAAACTACATATGTACAAACTAATGTGAATAATTAGGACTTTGTGAGTTAAAACATTAGCAGGAATCAGTTCGCGTCCATCATGCTTAATGAAAATATGACAACTCAGAAAGTACAGTGGACAGTAAACGTTAGGCTTAGATCAGATAAACCAGGTGTTTACAGGCTCATCAAGATTTTAAGATTAAGAACAGGAAAGAAAAGGAGGATTAGTTTTAAAATTTAAGAATTATCAATTATCTTATCAAAGTATGGAAACTAGAACAAGCACCCAGCATCGTCTGCTCCACCCAGTCAGCTGGATCTCAGGACCAGTGCTGGATGCTGGTCTTTCAACAACAGGAAGCTCAGAAGCCTCCAGAAGACCTACACAATTTTTTTCTTTTTGATTTTTTACCTGGATTACTGAGATGCATCAGGACAACAGGAAGCTCAGTTATGTGTGGGTTATAAATTCTACCCTCCGTTCCTTTTCATGAAAATGATCTGTGGCCCTGTCACAGATCATTTTGTTTAGTTTATGGCATTTATTCATTTCATTTTAATAAACAAAGCATTACAAATGCTTGTTGTGTTTTAGTTCACCTGCAGAACTTTTATTTTACATTTTTAACTTTGTTCAGGATTTAGATCAGCGAGGATTGTTGTAAAATGTGCAAAAATAAACTTTAAATTTCACAAAAGTTTGTAGTTGAATAATGGGTGTTAAACTGAGATAAAATATTGTTAAAACAAAGAAATGTCAGAATGTTTGTGATGAAGCTTCATGAGGCTCTGAAGAACTTTAAATACTCAGCAGCGCCTCCTGCTGATCAAAGCGTTTTACAGCAAAAGTTACAGCTTGTTTTTATTCTAATATTCATGTTTTTTCCTTTTAGTTTTCTAAAGAACTGTCTATATAAAATTACATATATTTATTGTTTTGTAAGTTTATAAAAACTAATGTGTTGACTTGGAAACATTTTTACAAATAAAATAATGTTTTTTTAAAAAGTTCTCCTCCTTTGTTGTATAATAAATAACCCATTCATTGAGTATTTCCTTGTTTTAAAGTGTTTCATCAGAATTACTCACAGCTTTAAGAAATTTAATATTTTCCAACAAAATTAGTTTGAAATTTTCAGCTCCTGCACAGAAATGAATGGATGAATGAATAAATGAATAAAACCTACTGATTATATACAGTATAATACAAAAACCTAAAAGCTTAAATGTGATAAATATTGTAAATCTGGTAACAGTGGATTAAAATCAAGTTGCTAAAAGAAACCAAAGATTTTAGATGTCAGGACAGAAAAACTTGAAATAAAAATGTTAACTGTTATAAATAACAAACATTTCATTATGAAAAAAGAATCATGATTGAACTCTTTATTTAGGTAATGTTTTTTAATATGACAGAATTTTACATTTTGTTAAAACAACAGAACATAATGGTAAAGATGTATTCATAAAAACAAATGAAAGAATTTAAAGCAAAGAGTTTACAAAAATAAATGAACTAAAAGTTCTGAGCAAACAAAGTTTCATTTTCTGCTGGTAAAAAAACAACTTAAAAGAAAGACAAACTTATAAGAAACAATTAATGAAGCTTTAACCAAATACAGATCAGTAAATGGACTGTACTTCTGCAGCACCTTTCTACCCAACCTGAGGCCTGCTGCACAACACTAGGATAAGGGATTAACCCGGGATTTTGGTGTAAACCTGAATTAATTAAGCCTTGAATCAGCTGCATGAGCTCTGAAGCTCTTCTGTTTCTGTGGTAACAAGTGCTCTGAAACTAATCTGATCAGGATTAAAGTGAAGATTATTTAATCTGTGAGTGTTTCTGAGCAGTAGAGTCATTTTACTGCAGAAAACTGTTCCTCTGACCAGGTTTTACTGTCTGATATCAGATACAAAGTATTTTTGATCTTGTTTTTAGACCTATATACTAAACAAGATCAGAATGTATTGGATTATTAATCTTGTTAATCTGAAAAGTTTTTTTTCACTTCAAGAAGTCAAGTGCAACTGTCAAACTGCAGATTATTAATTACTATTAATTTGAAAAGAATAAGGGTCTAATCTAGTATTTTTATTTATTTTAAGAAGCCTAATTTATGTAGTGTCTGATCAGAAATCAGTTCTTCAGACATTTATTAAATTTATTCTTTTTTATTTGCTTTAAAATATTACAGAGTAAATATATTTATTTAATTTATTTATCAGATTATCCATGAAAAAGAATAATTATTAAAAAGGCTTAACCTCAGCTTCACCTTTAAAAAATATGACAAGTCCCGCCCCCCCTTTGTGCTACAGGCCACACCCCTCCATCTCCACCACCCCTGTCCCGACTCGCTCCCCCATCTCCCTCCAGCGCTTCAGCTTCTGACCCCCCCCCCCTCCGTCCCTCGTCTTTTCCTACAGTCATCGTTTTCAGTGAGCGATCATCTGTTCATTTTAATTTAGTTCATTTAGTTAATCTCAGATAATTTAGTTAATCTCAGTTAAGTTAGTTAATCTCAGATAATTTACAGACAGATTCAGTGACACAAAGCGTTTTTACTTTTGAAATGATTTCAGCATCAGTCGGTGTTTCTCTTCATCTCTTCATATGAATCATAATTAACCCTTACACTGCTGGAGGAAGTGAGACTCACGTGTCTCACTGCTCATGTCTGATCAGTTAATCTGTGATCCACCCAGTGGGTTTGGTAAACAAACTGTGAACGTGCATTAATCCCAGATTATTTACAGCTGCTTGAATGAACCATCCTAACTGAGCGCAGCTTGGTGTTAGAGCAACAGATTACAGCTGTTTACAAGTTGAAGATTAGTTCAAGCTCAGCTTACAGCTCAGATCCTGAATTTATAAACCTGACTTGTGCTTCAGGCCTCAGGACACTCAAACCGCTTCACACTATAATCTCCTCATTTACCCATTCACACAGCACTACTGGATCTGTAAAAACCTAATATGTACAATCATCTATGGGACTGATCAGTGCCACTCACATTCAAATACCTTCAACAGACAGTGCTTAGCAGCACAGTGGATCAGTGGTTAGCCCTGATACCACACAGCAAGTCTGTCCTTAGCTGAAGTATTTTACATTAAATTAAAATTAAAGTTGTTCATCAAACTAATTCAGAATGTAATATAAACAGAATATGTAATGTCTAGTTAAGTTTGAATAAAGTGGATAAATTATTTAAGCTAAATGAAGCTTTTTCATAGAATCACACAAATATTTCACGTATATGAAATAATAAAAAACAACAATACAACAGGTATATTTGTACATGAAAAATATTAAATCAGAGGATTTGTATCAGTTTTGTTAGCTGAAATCATAAACAATGTTTGATCAATATTCCATGAAGATAATTATAAAACATCCAGATGTTGTCAGTAAATTCATTCAAACTATAAATTCTGACAGTAGCTGTGTTTCCATTCACCAAGAAAATGTGCAAATTAGAATTTCAAAAATAAATTTGCTCAATGGAAAAATGTCAATTTCGAAAAAAAAATATGTTTTTTGACAAAATGTTTTTGCACTAGGATGAGGTGGTTTTTCAGTCGTATCGAAATTGGTGTTTTTCACAAAACTACAATGGAAACAGTTTTTTCATATCACAGGAGTCACGTGATCAACAACCGTCTGTTTCTACTGGTGAAAAAGACGATGATGAAGAAGATAACAGGAAGTAGAAGTAGTAGTAATATCACAGAAGTAGTATAAAATAGATCATGTGTGTTGTGATTCATTGACAGCCATATTTTCCTCTGTTCAAGATGATGACTGGTAGATAATTAGTTATTAGCTGTGTGTGTATATTTACACACACTTTTCACCTGCTGTGAGAATGTGCAGCAGACACACAAAGTTTTTCAGCCGACAGTTTTAACTCACAAAGTCATGAATCTGACCTGAATCCACAGAAATATGACTCTGTTGTGTTTTCTGGATGTAAGGAGCGTCTGAACACATTGTTAGATTTTTATTTTAGTTTGAGTTTTTATTGTTTAAACTGAACGATGATGAAACTGAACCCCGGGACTGAAAATCATTTAACCTCAGACAAAAATAGATCAGTCTAAAAATGATCAAAGAACCTCAGTCTACTGTAAACTGTAAAGTTTTTATATTGTTGTCACGTTGTTGGAAACACGCAGAGCGCAGACCTGCGAGGCACACACACAGCTGAGAATAAAATGTGTGAATTATCTAAGAAACATTTTTAATTCTAACTGAGAAAAAAAACGTTGTCAACTCAGAATATTCAGCTGTGATGATTCCTCTTCTCCACAAGATGCAATATTTGCTGCGTAAAGTTGTGCGAATGGATCAATGTCAGCTGTTCCCAGTCCCACACCACAGCAGGGACTCGCAGCGCTGCGAGTCACTCCTTCCTTCACTTCAACTATTTAATAAATATTTTTCTAAGTTCTACCAAACTCATCAGTTCCTCTGTGTTTACATTTATTAAAGACATGTAAAGGTGGAAATGTCTCTCAGCCTCATGCTCCGCTGAAAACAGCAGCTTAACACAGGCGCGCACACACACACCTTTACAAGTGGCAAACTCATTTTTACACTCCACTGACAATTTTCTCACTCATTCTCCATTTAATGTATACATTTTCTGTATCTAAATATCATTTCTGATCCCACAGAGAGGACAATCTGAGGAGAATCTCACATGCTAGACCAGGGTTCGACAAGATTTTATTTCTTTACCTGCCCTGTCGGGCAGGTGACAACAAATGTTACCTGCTCGCCATGAAAAGTTACCTGCCCGAAACAAAAATGTTCAAATTTTGATAAAAGAAAAATGTGTACTATACTTTGTACTACAAAAATATTAACATGGTTATACA